GCTTCCTCCACCAGTCTTGGCGGACTGTAGATCTCGACCACAGAGTCGTGCTCGGTCGGAAGGCCACCAAAGACCTCGGCAATGTCATCAGGTTCTTGTTCCTACCATAGAGTCCAGTAGGCTCCATAATTGGGGAGTAGATCATCCAGGCTCTTCATCAAGTCATTCTTGGTCGTCTTGGCCAGGGTGATCTCTTGCTCATAGAGCTCGGTGTCGTTGACATAGCCGATGAAGTCCTTGGTGAACTCATAGAGCGTCAGAAAGGAGACGGAAGCCCCCAAACTGTAATCCTCGCCAGGAATCTGCGTCACGTGGACAGCATTCCATTGGCTACCATCTTTTGTCATCACGATCTTGCGACTCAGAACCTCTCCAGTGAGCACTGGTGCAACTCCACGAGAAACATCACCACATGAAGTGGCTACATAGGTGTGGTTCTGGTCGATGTCCAGGGTCATAGCCAGCTCTTGAAAATGCTGGTCATCTTGCAGCGAGGGTAGATGCTTCAGCCAACCATTCAGTTGGAGAGGAGATTCACGTTGAAGCGGCCGATCTTGGCATAGGCCGTTGGCATCTCGAAGAGATAGGCTGCCAAGCTGCAATTCTCGTCCATGCACTGGATCTCCTCGTTCTCGGCTTCGTCTCCCGGGGCAATCTGAAGCATCTCCTTGCTCTGGCATCGTGGGCAAATCAGAACTCCCACTGCCGGTTTGACTGATTCCTCCAATTGTCCCCAATGATGTGGACAGTTGGGGTTGTCGCACTTCCAAAGCAGGTGCATCGATGGGCTGCGGCGATGGAGTACCACCTCGCCCTGATGACAAGTGTCGCAGGACTGGGACAGTGCCTCGTGCAGGAGCATCTCGAGAGCCGCATGAGGATCTCCGATCATCGCTGGCTCCACAGCTTCGTTTCCATGGCGGAGGATCTGGTTGGCTACCACGTCGTGCCATGAATCCGCTCCCACAAAGTCCTGGTCCATCGGTGCAATCTCCTCCTCCTTGACTCGCCTGGGTGGTGCGAATGGCTGAACTCTCGTCTTGCAGGCGGTTCTCCGTGTTGACATAGTCGACAAAGTCGGAGTCGTCAAAGGAGAATGTTTGTCTTGTTGCTCCGGTGAACTCGCTGATGCTGTCTCCTGCTTGGATCCCTTGGCCTTGCTCTTGGCTGCAGTCTTCTGGTAGAAGGGGTCCGGGATGTAGCACAGGGTGTTGTTCCAGCTGTGCAATTCCGTGACGGGCGTCAGCGGCATGGTCTGGCGTTGTTTGCACTCGGTGCACTCGTGGTAACTCATGAGGCGGTTGGCACCGTGCTTGCTCATGTGATGGCTGCGCATAGGAGACGGCTCCAGCGCAGGCACCAGGTATTTGCCATTGCCCTTGACCATTGCCAGAGGTCGTACTCGATCCTCTCGACGTGCCATCGTCAAGGTTCCGGCATTCATCACCGCCGGGGATGAAGTCTTGGCTTGCGCCAGCACTCTTTGTTCTTCCTGAGCCAGCTGCAAAGCTTGCTCCTCCAAGCGTTGGCGTCGTTGTTGAAGGCGGCGTGCTTCGCGAAGTTGAGGTGATCGAAGCACTTCTTGGAAGACCTGCCATGCTTGGAGTGCTGCCGAGGAAAACCAGCGCAGCAACAAGCGGCGCCAGCGCGCCCATCGCTGAGAGGCTGTGGGCATCCAATGACCAGTCGGCTGGCCAAGGAACCGTGGCCCAGTCAGGAACGGGCTCAACTGACCAGGCTTGGCTTTCCGGGGCTGCGAAGTTCGCTGGGACGTTGAAGCCACTCTTACCAAAATCAACTATTGAGACTGCAACATGTCCGGTGGCCAAACGTTTCATGTGTTGACTCGTGCCAAGCTTGGTGTACACAATGTATGAATGCTCCATGTCAATGACTGCACCCACGCTGGTGAGGAAGTATGCGGGCAAGAGGAAGGGGATGTTTCCAGGCACAACCTGAACCCGTAAAACTCCAGAACGTTGACCAATACCAATGGGCACATATGCTATTGAAGTTGTCTCCTCCTGTCCACATACTCCACGAACGCTGCCCCCGGCTTCATGAGACCATTGAACTTGTAAACCATGGTGCTCTTGCAACAGGTGGTCATGACGGAGAAGGGTTTCCTTTCCAACTAAACCATGCTGGGCTGCCGTATCAACAAGTGCTGTACCCTCATCTTCATGAACTGCAAGAAAACAAAACGTCAAAGCTGCAAAGTCGGCCGGCATGTATTCTCCACCAAACTTGGCTTCAGAGCTCTTGGTGAGAAAGCTACTGCCACCTGCCAAAGTAGTTGCAGGTGGTTGAACAAAGAATCCGGCGCTCATGCCGGCAGCGCTCAAGCCCGTTGTTGAACTCGAGCTTCGTGAAGTAGGCGATGCATGCTTTGATCGATGAGGGCATTCCTTGCTCCAATGACCAACCTGTTTGCATTGGTGGCATCTCGTTTTGGCCTTCAGCTCAGAGAGAGTGAGCTTGGAACCACTGCGGTGCATCCAAGGCTTATCATAGCCTCTGCCATTGCGACTTGCTTGAAGTAATCGCCGATGTTCGAGATAGCCGCCACCTTTGCCATGTCCAAAGCTGGGCGGACTGCCCATGCCATAGGTCTTGCTGCTGGGGCTCTTGCCTTTGCCTTTCTTCCCTTTACCTTTGCCTTTGGAGTGCAGGCGGTTGTGCACCTCATAGAAGACATCCTCGATGTGGCCTGCAACAGCCTCCAAGGCATCACTCTCATCCATCACCACGGGAAGCTCCTCATAGAAGGCAAGCTGAGTGTCATGGTTTTCACTCAAAGACATCAGGTCCTCGAAGGGGTCGATGTCGTCAATCTCATAGGCCGTGTAGGTCAGCTCCTCATCCTCCCAATCTTCATCAACGTCTTCGCCCCAGTAGGAGGCGCTTCGCCATCTTCGGGGTGTTGGAGGATGATCAGCATGTTGGTGCTCGTCCAAGCGGTCTCCAAAGACTTTTTGAATTGCCTTCTCAAGCTCCTTGAAGTCGATGGAGCCGTTGGTGACAACTTTCAAACGTTGCCGTTGGTCTTGACTGAAAGCTCCTTGGCGCAAAATAAGGTGACCAAGGAGATGTCTTCCGGCCGATGTGGCCAACAAATCAAGCCCTTGCTTTTTCAGCTCTGCGAAGGCGGCCTTCTTGTTCGTCAAGAACGTGGTCAAAGATGTACCACGGTCTCTTCTGCCTTTGAAAATGGCCTCATCAAAGGCCTGCTCGAGCCTCTGGTCCTTCAGGTACTCGTGGGCCTCCTCGATGATGCGCAGGATCTGGCGGTGGCCATTCTCAGCACAAATCTCCTCAACTGCCAAATGAGCCACCAGTGCACTCAGCTTGGATCCAAGGGGGATCGAGTCGATGATCCGCTTGCCAATCAAATTGGTCGGCAATCTGGCCTCAGCTTCAACCAACCAAAGGAGCAGGTTGCGATGATACTCCTTGTACTGTTTTTCGGGCGAATCTCCGCCCCAGCTGGGCGCAGGATCCAACCTGTAGTCAACATGTTTTCGGCCTTCTCGACCTTGGGTTGAGCCAGCCGGAGTCGGAGGTCGAGGAGGTCCACACCAAGCGCAGCTCTACTCCACGGATCTGGTTCCTCAGGAATGCCAGGATCGCCGGGCCGTTCTTCGGCAAAAGGTCGTTGGCGATCAGGAGAAGTCGTGGGCATGGCTGCCATCGGTGGCGGAGTCGTGGAGGCCGAAGGCGAACTTATAGATGTAGCTCCGGTTTTCCTCTCCACGTTCGAGCAGGAGGTGGCATGTCCACCAAACAAAGAAAAGGAAAAGTTCACCAGTCCAAATGATCTGGTAATCGAAGAACTCAATGATGTAGCGCTCCCAAAGCCCTGGGTTGGAACTCCCGGGAAGAGGTCCCGCACAAACTTTCAAATGTCCAGCCGCCGGGGGCGTCCCCCCAAGTCAAAGCCGAACCTCTTCGCGGGAGCCCCCCGGTCGTCACCAGGGGGCTCCGCTACCACTGTAGATCGGGCGGAACGATCAAGCACTTTTCGCCATTGCATCAGAGCTCAAGGCGCCTAACGTGAGGCGGCGGTCGAAGGTTCGGGCCATATGGCCATCAAACAGCTGGAAATGAGTGAAGTGGGACCTGACAGGTGGCATGTGGTTTCACACATATATATATATATATGCAGTACAATATGTCACGTCCCGTTGCCCCCCGTTCCTGCCCTCGACATGAACTCCCGCCCCTGACCCCTGCTCAAAGACTGCTTAAATAGCCTCCTGAGCCCCTTCATGATGCCAATGATGCACTCTTCGGCGTCGATTGCATCGCTTGCATGACAACACCCCAAAAACCGTACTTGTTCACTGCTTTTCGGACCGCCTCTTCTTTTTCGCTCTCCCCCACCAGGCTCTGGGATCGCCCTACCCAAATTGTTCCCCTATGCAACCACCCCGCTGATACTCACTTCGTTCGCCCATCGACAACTCCCTATCGGCTGGCTTTCGTAACATCTTATGCAGTTCATTATCTATATGCATGTATATGCATGTACACATGTATTCTTTCACTTTTTTGTAAGCATACCCTCCGCTCATCAGGGTGTCTCGTCCATTGTTCGGTGAGTTTCAAATCGTCCATGCAGTGCAAGCAGAACATCTATGTATATATATATATATAATTCGATTGTGGTCTGGCCTCCTTGTCCTTTTCCTCGAGCTGCGCCGCCGTCACCTCAATCTCTGATCCCATCGGAGGCAAACTGCAAGCACGTCTTCGGTCATCAGGTTGCGGCTCCTTGATGATGGCCGTGATGAAGGTGTGTTGATACTGGAATTCAATGTCCATGGCTGACCCCGTGCTCTATGCTGTGCTTTAGCCAAAAAGAGCTGACAGTGCGATATGTCAGGCCCAAGATTCTGGACCACAACCGGAACAAAAGTGCCACTGTCGCTGTGGGGGTCAACTAGCTCCGCGCAATACTTGGTTGGTGGATGAGGCCACAGGTGCGTCTTCAAACATGCCTCCGCATGATCTGCAATCGCTTGCTCAGCACCTCGAGCTCAGGTCTGCTTGCACTAGATATCTGCAGTTCCAGGGCTGAAAAACAAAGTTGTCTGAAACTTATTCCGGAACCTACCAATCTGGGGCATGTTTATCTTTAGCTGTGCAATATGTTGATTTCGTCAGCTCCCACATTCTCCCACATTCTCCCACTTCCAACAGCGTCCAATGGCGGAGCGGCTTTGCAAACGGCTCTTCTGGCTCTTCTCCCACATCTCTCGAGCTGCATCAGCAGCGAAGACCTGCCAGGTTCTGGGGTTCTCTGGAGGGTAGGGTAAGAGGCCTTGGAAGTAGGATGAAGCAGGGACTTGGGTAGATCTTGACGAAATACGAACGGCATCCCGAAGCTGCAGCCTCTTGCCGGAGGATGAGCTCTTGGCGCAGCTGCTGCGTCTCTGCCTGTAAAAGCTCAAGCATTGAGATTTGTCGGCAGAAAAATGCAATTGTCTTCACATGACCTACGTAATTTTATACAAGGCCTTTAGAGTCTAAGTGCTCCTAAGACCCACACCTCCTCCTCTTGTAGACATGCTTCTGAAGTCTCCAGCTGCATTCGCAAAGACCTTCCAGCCCGCCATCCGCACTTGAGTGGGTCACTTTTTTCAGAACGAGAAACAATAATGTGAATCAATAAATTAAAGTTGAAAGAACAAATCACCAAATGCATAATATTCGGAAGGGAACAATGATAGTAAGGGTCGGTGTTCCAGTGTTCCATTCCAAATAAGTCGAAAGAACGGGTCACGAACAAAACGTGCCCGTCCATATGACCACTATGGATCCTGTTCAAATCTGCAGGTTAAACAAGACAAACTAAGGGGGATATGCTACATGCTACACTTATATAACGCCAGAGATCGATTCATACCAGTCACATACATGCAGGAATTCTGACATATGGATACCACACGCATCAAGTTGGTAGGCCGTAGACCCGTGCCTCGCAGTGAGGGTCATCTTGCTTTCTTCCAAAAAGGGTGCCAAATCCTGGACATCTCAGGGAAGCACGGGCCATTGAACGCCACTGTTTAGTTCCTTGCTCTACAGGTCTGCTTTCGTTTCTTGGAACTGCACAAGTCATCTCGACACAGTACCCAGACTCATCCATGCACTTGTGACCCTGAGGGCTGGCATGCCTATTTAGATTGATGTGCTTCTAGGATTCTGCTGCAAAAGCAGTCCAGTGCTCATAGAGTCTCAATCCACATAATACCGATACCCTAAAACATCCTAAACACATTATTAATGAAGCGATATGAAACCTCTTTTCTTTCTCTATGCCCTGTCCCACCTGCCTGTGATGCCTGTGATGATGTTCTTCGGTCCACTGGCTTCAACATCGCGGCTAGGAGACCATCATGCCTTTGCATCAGAAGAGTGGTCATCCTGGGCCAAACACCTTTAACCTGAGGAAGCATGGAAGCAGTCACCTGCATCCACAATCATCTACAAAAATCAGAAAGGATGAAGGGCAAAAAGACAGATTAGAAATCAGCCCATTAGCCGCCTTTACAACCTAGCCTATGGAGGTTGCCACTCACCAGCTCAGGACCTTGCTGGCCGCCGGAGCCTGCCCCGAGCTTCACTGGAGCCCATGGCGTTTGCTAACAATTTCGCCAACAGAAAGGTCTGCCAACAATTCACTGAATTGAACGTACGATCATCAAGCAGCAGTTTGTGTGCAAACTTTGGGAGTGTGTGAAGGCGAGTGTGCTTGATAGAGGGGAAGACGGTGTCATTTGCAAGCAGCGTCTGCGCCAGACCTTGCACCAATCGTCGAACGAGCAGAATGGCAATGTGCTGCCAGTGCGCAGCCTGGAGTGGACGCACATTCAGCGAGGACAGAATGAATGTCGATTCTTTTCTTGGGAGGGTGGGCCACAAAGAGGTTGGGGGGAAGTAGGTAGTATGTAGAGCGTAAGACAAGCTTGGTCAGCTGGTAAACATAATCCATAGGCAGCTGGACGGATATCATGAACAGTTCCTAGATTTAAGGATCCAAGTATATAAACTACATCCAGACAAGGAGTGTGCAGGTTGCTCAATTGATTTCGCCGCATCAAAACGCACAAATAATATTCAAACACATTGACATCATTCACAGGCTAGGGCAACATTAACAAATGTCCACTTCATCCCAACAAAGCAAAGGTCGCTATAGTTTGTAGCACAGCAACTCTAGCCCACGGCAAAACCGAGGCTGATGCCTGAACAGGTGTTTCTCCGTCTCATTATCTCCTTTGGTTCCATCGGTTCCGCTTCCTACTGTCACGGCGGTGCCCAAAGTGCGCCTCGTGTTCGGTCTCTTCTGCCTAAGCAATACGCAAACAAAACACGGCCATGTGCCGTCTCTCTTCGCATGGTATGTCAAAATGCACGGGAACCCCCTCCTCCAGCAGTAAGGCATCGTGTTCAGACTCCAGGGCTTCTATCTTTTCAGCCGCCTCAGGAGATCTTTCTGCAGGAGTTCTTTCATCATCCCTCATCCAGGTTGGAATGGATTGCAGCCCTCCCATCCATTTTAGCTTGCTGAGAAATTTTGTCGACCCTGCAGGTCCAGCCTGCAAGAGCTTCTTTTGAAGACCCTGGACATGCGGCATAGCAGCAGAACGTGTCTCACATCTGTTAGCGCCTTGCCTTGGAATTCGGACGGCCGTATCTGTTTGTTCGTTGCTTTCGCTGCTTGGAGGAGCTCTTTTTTGGCTCAGCGGCATTCTTCAAATCCCGCCTTGATCTGCTGCAGCTCCAGAGTTGATGACATTCAACGAATTGACCTAAGCCATTATCAAGAAATACCCGCAGGGCTGGGTTAAAAAGACATGAAATAATTTTCCCCAATGACTTTTTGCCATGTCTACAATACAGGAACTTAGAGTATATAGCATATATGTAAATATATGCATAACATATAACATATGACATGTGATATTAAATATTTTGTATATAATATAAAATATGTAATATGTATATATATATATATCCAATATTATATATAGTTTCAGCCGTGTAATCACGCGGGCCCTCCCATCTGCATTGCTATCTTTTTTAGCAGTCTCATCGAATCCAGTGCTCGAGCTGCTCAGCTGCTCACTTATCCACCAGGACTGTCCTCGACACCTTTGGCTTTCTCGAACGAACGGCTGACTCTGGCAGCGGTCTCGATCAACCACTAGACGTTTGTATGGTAGGGGGTTCAATAAAGCTGTTGCGAAACAATAACACAATTGCTGTCAACTTCTGCAGAACAAACAACGAACATAGACGAAAAGGTTACGACATAGATTGCTAAACTACTTTCACTTCATTTGAAAAGACAAGTTCAGACCAGCGGCGCACCGCTCTTGGAGCACCACCAATACAAAACATTCGCATCACGTCCTTAGCAAGATCAATGACACTGCTTGAGAAAACAACACCACTACACATTACTGTCCCTGGATGTGCGCACTAAACATTACTTTGCTTGCGCAAGCACAAAACACACAACAACATTGCACACTGCACACACGCAGTATATAAACAATGTTCCTTCTTGTAGCCCGTCCACACTAGCTGCCGCAAGATATATGGCGTAGTAGACGGTCTGCACAATAGGCTCACCGAAGCCCGTCTGCACTTGCTACAAAATATGGCACATTGTAGAAAGCAGCGCAGAGCGAACAAAGCTCCACACATGTGGATCGTCTCCATGTTGGGTTCACCGAAGCCCGTCCGCACTTGCTACAAAATATAGCACATTGTGGGAAGCAGCGCGGGGAAAACAAAGCCCGACACATGTGGATCGTCTCCATAAAAGGCTTACCGTAGCCCGTCTACACTTGCTACATAATATTGCACATTGTGTAAGGCAGCGCAGAGGAAACAAACCCGACGTGCGCGTCCTCCATCGTTGCCAATACGCGCGCGCTACAGACACTTCTGCTTACCCTTCCACGCACGCACTCTCCATCGAAATTGGGCAATTGCAACACATGCCAGTCAATAAACTAGCCGTTAGCCGTTCTGTATTGCAACTTAGATATACATTCAACAAAACCTCACTGTCAACTCATGAAATGTCACAATAACTTTGCCCAAGGCACGGAACGCCAGCAGACTTGATGGAATGCCTCCGCTTCACTGTAGGCACAGTACGTTCTTTTTGAACGCTCTTCTTTACCGCTGCTGGCCGCTTCGCTGTCCAGAGCTTTAAACTTTAGCCTTTCTTTCTCCATCGTTCTGGCAACGTGCAAAGTCACTGGGGTCTTTTCCATTTTTCTTGCGCACCACACGTCCCAAGTCTGCGTTGCTCAGATCTCTGTTGCTGGGGCCTTGGCCAAGAGCACAGTTTCTTGGGTCTGCCTCGCGCTTGGAAAGCAAGACCCCACATGGTGCGCCAAAAGCTTACTGAGCTGCATGATATCTAGTTTCAGACGTAGAGTGCTTTGGCGCAACGCCCTAATGGACTTGGACCACGAGTTGATTTGCGCACGTAGCGCTTCATTTGTCGACGCGCCACTCGGGAGTAGGGACCGGTAATCGAGCGGCGAACCCGCAGACCATTAAAAAGCCACTCGATTCGGTCTGGTGTGGTCTGCCACAGAACCTTTCGCACTTCTTTGGAAGCGCCGGTGACTTTGCGAGCCACTTCCATTGGATAGACTTTACAAAGGGCAGCCAAAGTCTCTACGAACGTGATTCGGCAGAACAAGGGAGAGTTGCCATCAAGGTCATTGAGAATGCGCTGAGCCCTTGGAAGCCCATTGCCTTCGCTACGCAAGATGTGGTCTCTGGCCTTGCTTTCCTCGCGAGAGAGACTTGGAGGTGATGCCCCCGTATAGAATGGACCCCAAGCGGAGGCACCACAATGCGCATCGACTTGGTTGACTTTATTAAGGAGGATTCTTAGCACTTTCGAGCCTGCTGACCTTCTACCCCATTGAGCATACTTGCGCACAATTGCCAGGTGGACTGGGTCCAGACATAAACAAACTATTCCGGACAGATTCGCTGGAGTTCTTGAAACAATTTTGATGTTGGAGAATCAGTAGACACATGCTTCACTTGTCGTAAAGCTACAGGGGACAAAGACACTGACAAGGCCTCAGCAACTGCAGGCGCATCCTCACTTCGAAGAGGTACAATTGCTATCACAGCTCCCGTCCGACCTCGAATTGTCAGCACTCTGCGCAAAGATTCATCGTCGTTGATGCAGGCTTCATTCCGGACAACAGCTGGAGCGCGATAGCTTGCCTGGCCTTGAACCACCATGCAAATTTTTAGGGTAGCATCAACCGACAAAGCAATAAATTCCTCATTGCGTTCTAGGCTTGCAGTTAGGCGGCGCAAAGCTTGCACCTGAGTCGAATGAAAAATGTCTTCCACAATGGGCCACCAGTGTCGGGTATGTGTCGGGTAAAGGTTTCCTAACAAATTGCCTGCCTCGAGCGCTCGCAAGTGGATACGGGGACGTTGCTGGCTGTGGTGAAATACGATCTCCCTGAAAAGCATTTCTGCAAAAGATCGGTCATAATAAATGTTCAGAACACGTCTTGCGACCAAATCCTTGCCAAATGCTTCTTTGTTAACAAAGACGGCCCCTGCGCTGTCAAAAGCAGCCGAATTGACTTGTCCGCATGATTGCGCTGACTGCTCAAAGCGGCTTCACTTGGGAGTTCAACAAGAGAGAGCTTCTGAACAAGAAATCCATTTCCCATTGTCTTTGGCGCAATCAGCATCATAAAGAGCCAATATTATTCTGGTTTGCCTCTCTCCCGGGCACACAAATTGGTTCTGTTTAGTATGATGCATCCTCACGTGGTCACTGAGCTGCCCTACTCCTTTGAAGGGACGAAAAGGGCACAAGGTACATCGAAAGGAGCCATCCATTTGGCGAATGTTCCTGGCCTCAATTTCAGCGACAAATGCGTTAACTTCTTCTTCCAACGAATCCCGGACGGTGTCTTGAAACACAAGTTGGCGGTCCTCATCAACAATGAAGCTGCTATCTGCAGGGCCGTCATCTACTAGTTCATCATCAGACGACGCACGCCCACTTGCTTGCAAGTCAAGCAGCATAGCATATGGGAAGTCCCTCTTGGGGTTCCGTGTCCACCAGCTCCAAGAACACTGTAGTCTGCATGTCTATCCCGCCCGCGATTGCTGACAAAAGCGCTTCTCTTGACAAGTTGAAAGCTTGTGAACCGTCGTGCACTAAAGCCTTGACACCGTCTTCCTGCCATTCCACAGAAACAGAATGTGCACAGCCACCGCTTTCGGAATGCAATAAAAAGTTATTGACCGGCACATCTGTGAAAAAGCCAGGCGCGAGCTTCAACTTGAAGATGGCACAGCATTGCTG